CTTCAATGACCTGTTTTTCTTTATTTGATTGAGATGAGTGAAATTCTGGCTCAGCAGGTTTTGCTTTAGTGGCTTGGTAACTAGGAGAAGTAAACGTCTCTGCTAATGCAGGTGGAAACAATATAAAATCATCATCAGTATATGCTGGATCGTCACGTAAAATAAGACTCTTATTTTGGAAAGTAAGTTGAGACGAATCATTTAGAGTGTTGCATTTATACAATTCTTCATCGTATTTATCCTGAGTTAAGAAGCTATCCACTTCGGGGCAGCTCTCCTCCTGGTCCTTCAGTAAAGGGTCATGGAGTTTTTTAGACAAAGTGGAGCTATTTTCATCTTCTTCTAAGTTGCCATCTTTAGAGCTTTCTGTAAAAAATCGTTCCTGTTGTGAATCATCCAGCTTTTCATCTGTATCGTAAATTTCTTCATCACTTTGAAGTGGGGAATAGGAGATTTCACAGTTGCTAAAGTCATTTTCTGGCAATGTCAAATTTATGTGTTCTGGGCTGTTCTGACTGTCTAATTCTTCAGCAAGAGGCAAACCAAATCCTACCAGTTTGTCTTTATTAACAAGTTCTGTAAATTGTGGGACTTGTTGGGAAGTTTGGATATTTGTGGAAGAGGAAACCTTTTTATCAGTTTCAGTTGGAGACTGAGATTTTCTTAGACATTGTGTCACTAACAAGGCATCAGTTGAAACATTTTGTTTTAAGTTATCTGTTTGTTTCTGATATGGAGACCATCTTTCCTTAAGGCTACAAAGAAAGCCTGAATTAGTCTCACTGAAACTCCCACCTGACTCATGGGATGGATTGCTGAAAGGACTATTACTAGCCCTGCTTTGAGCTAGCAGGAGATGAGTGTATCTCTTGTAATGAGAAGGAATTGTTGAGGAACACTGAAGAGCATCAGGACACTCTGAAAATTTTAATAAAGAAAAAGGTATTACCGGATCAAAGCACAGACTGAGCTTTGACAGTATTAGCACTATAAATTAACATGTAAGTAGAAAGTCATCAGTCCAACTTTGAGGCCTTAGGACAATAGCTATCTTTATATAAACAAAAAATCAGCACACAATAACAGTAATCCAGTATGGTTTTGCAAGGTGCTAGTTATTATTTTTAAATCAATATATTCTTTTTGTGTGTGTGTGTGGTACGCGGGCCTCTCACTGCTGTGGCCTCTCCCGTTGCGGAGCACAGGCTCTGGATGCGCAGGCTCAGCAGCCATGAGCCACGGGCCCAGCCGCTCTGCGGCACGCGGGAATCCTCCCAGACCGGGGCACGAACCCGTGTCCCCTGCATCGGCAGGCGGACTCTCAACCACTGCACCACCAGGGAAGCCCCAATATATTCTTTTAAATTTCTTTTCAAATTCTCTTTCCCCCCCAAAAAAATTTAAGACTAACACCTTTTTTTCCCCACTAAAAACTTTCACAACTATGAGCTCCTCCAAAATGCATGTCATGCTTGCACTAGGTATTTCTTAACCAGGTGCTACAAAATGATCCCATCAGTTTCACTACGTCACTATTGCTCAAGCAATAAAGAGTAGAGAAGGCTGGTATGTCTCGCAGACTAAAAGTTCTACCTCAATTTTTATCTTATCAGGCAACACATATGTATGACAGTTGCAGTACCAAATTAGGTTCCATTATTTAATATTCACACTGCATATGAAATAGTAATAGCAATCTTAATTAGAGCTGTTCATACCCTAAACATTTTAGGTTCTGTCCTAAGATTTGAAATTCAATTTGATAAACTGGTTAATAATAAGGCTTTAATAATCTGGAAACTATTCCCTGTCATACCATTATGACTGAGAAACAGTCTGTAAAGCATCTTGGCATACCCCACCCCTTGTATGTTCATTTTCAAGCCCGTCAAAAAATGATCCACCCCCCCCCACCAAAAAAAAAGATGTCACATTAAACTGGAGACTTCATTGCTTAAAAATTAACTTAAAACCACCTCATAAAAGTATATGTTATAGAATAAAATTCAATTCAAGAAAAATCCACCTGAGATTATCCATTCAAAGGAGTTTAATCAGTGAAAAAACCAAGAGAAAAACTCTTTGAGGTGGCTTCATCTATAAGATATTTCACCCTGAGTGCCCACCATGGGATTCCAATTGCCATTTCTGACTTTCAAGCCACTGAAAAACAAATTACTAGCATTTGATGAGGCTTTCTCTGTTGTATAAGGCTAGTGCCAATTTTTTTAAGTTATTTTGCATCTTCATGCAGTACTTTAAAATGAGAACTAGAAGTTAATAATAAAACGTCTTCTGAATCATAGTTAACAAGAAAGCCATACTATTATTTTTATTTTAATGAATTTTGATTCTTTGAGATTGAAAAATTTATGTATGGTATATATAACTTTTAAATAATCAATTCATCAATAACCATCCATTCTCCATATACTACAAGTAGGATTTTCTACATATTAAACATGATATTTATTATATAGTTTAAATGATAACAGAAACATAGTGTTACTTCAGTTCTCATTTGGCACAATTTTATTTATTAGAATCTTAATAACCAAACACTCCTTCCTAGTTCTTCTTTCTGTCCATTAGCATGATGACCCCAACACAGCCATATTTAGAAGGCTGGCCTACATTCATGATTCTCTAAAAGTCTGTTTCATAAAAGATAACAAAATTGGCAAGTTGTTTAGCTTTTAAGATCCCTCATCTATCAGATGTCAATACCACCTACCTTATGCAGGTGAAAATATCTACCATAATATGTGCTCAATTAACATTTATGAAAAATCACAGATTTTTAGGAACTCTTATGAAATAGTAAAATGCATTTATACTGTTTTCAAGTTTGCAACAGTCTTTACAATTATACTATTGACTGTTATCTTTTTACCCTTTACAAGAAGCGTAACACTGCATTACCTTGTTTCCTTCTACGGTTAAGTCATTTATACTTTGAGTATCTCATCTCATTTTTGGTTTACTGCTTACCTGGCTTGTTTCACTGGACTGATATGTCTGGCCTAATGCAGGTCTTTTTAACTATTTAGAGTCCACTATCTTTTTTGGAATCTTACCTGTTTCGGAGACTGGTATGGAATCCAAACACTCAAAAACATGCCACCGAGGTGTTTGACCTAGCAAGGAGGAAAAAGGCATCTGGCAGTTTGGACAGTACCCATCATAAACTGGTCGTATCTTCGGAGACACGTGTTTGTTTTTTTGAGTCCTACGGTGCTTTCCTGGAGTGGCCTCCCTGTCTTGGCACTGCTGAATACCTTCTCCACAACTAGAGTTCTGACTAGATGCGACAGAAGTCTGACTGTCTGTTTCTCCAAGGCACGTTTCGGGGGACTTAACCTTCTTTTTACCTTCTACAGTTCTTTTTTTATTTCTGTTTCGTTTTGACTGGTATTGTCCATCTGTTGCTTTCTCAACAGATTTTGGAATATTCTCAGAGCAATTATTTGGATGTACTGGTTTGGGTTTTCTTTTGGATTTGTATTCCCAGATGTCTTGTTCCAGAAAAGCATCCTCTAACATGGCAAAATGATTTTGATCATTAAAGAAGCACTAATCTTAAGTAAATTGAGGGTCTATGTCTTGTTACAAATTTTTTAAATGGAATTATTTTGCTCAGGAAAAAAAAGTAACAAAAAACCCACCAACTTGATGGGAATCTAAAGCTCTGATAATGAATATATTGGCAAACTACAAACCTTATACATGAGAACACCTGTTGTTTCACTTATAGCACAATAAAATTAACATCTGAGTTTTCCATTGTGTGTATTTCGTTCAGGTATCTTGGCTTTTTCCAGGACTTGATTCATAAAAAGTAGTATCAGTAATACTTTGAACAATAAACCCCAATGGGAAGTATAGGTTTAACAGTTCAATCTTAGAAGGAGCTTCGTAAAATTGTTATAAAGCTCCTATCAGCTCTCTTTCAACTGGACAATTGTCCAAACTGGGTTCACAAACCCAACCACAGTCCCTGGGCAACTGGCTCAACAGGTGTTCCAAACACTTAATGGCTACTTTAGTTTGCTAGTAACACTAGTCACACCATAATCAAATGTGTGTGATTGGCAAAAAACAGCAACAACAACAACGCGCCCTTATCCGTTACTGGTGGATATTCGACAACTTCAGTTTCCTGGGTCAATCCAGTATCTTCCTCCAGCGGCAATGAACAAACACTGCACAATGAACAAGCAAAATTGAAGTACGTGAAGTTGTGCTTGCACTGAGGCCACCCACACTCCCATCTCCAGACCCCAGAGGTGGTCTGCCTGAAGGCGATCAGCTCTCTCTCCAGCAGCCTCAAAACCAAGCTTCACCTGCCTGATGCCTCCCACCGGCTCGACCGCCTCTTTGGGCATTAAAGGCTGCAAGGCCAGCGGAGTGGGCCCTCACCCCCTCCAGGGAAGGGAGCGAGGGAGCTGCCAGCACAGCTCGCTCCACAAAAGCCACCAGTGCTCTCCACTTCTGAAGACAGAGGCCGGGCCCTCAGGGATCCCCGCGGCCGCCCACCTGCCACCCTCGCGCCTCGGGAGTAGCTCCAGCTGCGTCCGCTCCCATCGTGCCCCCTCCCCCTGCTTGGCTGACAATCTATTCGCACCTGCACTTTCAGCACTGAAGGGTAACAAAATGCTGCGATTGCGTATAAGCCAAGGCCATTGGCTAGTCACTCCCAACTTTAAAAAGCCTACTCCTTTACCTTTCGTGCCGTGGCGGGAACAGCTTCGCGTTCCCAATGCTGTGTCGAATCGGCTGATCCTGGTCTAAACGTGAGACTTTAAAAAGAAAAAAAGTTAGGGCCCTTTTAAATCCTACGGATTTATTTTGTTTTGTTTTCGTTCTAAAACCTGCTAATTTCCAAAGTGAAGGGTGGGGAATTGTTCTCTTGGAGCTTCTAGAACGCTGGCCCCGAAGCCTTTTCCATGTTGAATCTGGCGCTCTGAATGTCCAGGCTCAGCTGCGGCGAGAAGATTTAGAAGGGGCGGGGTAGGTTGGGACGGTAGTTTAATTACGTGCCGGGGAATTGCGTCAATTTGTACTTTAGCATTTGAAAAAAGTACTGTGAGCGTGGAGTAGGGCTGGTGGAGAGTGAGGCGAATGTGCGGTTTTGAAACCAAGGGACCGTAAGTCCCTCTCCCTCCTAACGAGACCGTACCGCGGGCTCTGCGGCCGCCTCTGGACCGTCCGGAGAGAACATGGCGGCGCCCGGAGCCCGGAGCTGCAGCCTCTCGGGCCTGCTCCCGGCTCAGACCTCGCTGGAGTACGCTCTGCTCGACGCCGTCACCCAGGAGGAAAAGGACAGCCTGGTCTACCAGTATCTGCAGAAGGTGGACGGCTGGGAGCAAGACTTGTCAGTGCCCGAGTTTCCGGAAGGTGAGGGGCTGGCTTCGGGGTGGGGACCCCTCCCGGAACCTCCCCTTCCTCGGGGACGGCGCCCTCCCCTGAAGCGGTGGGCGAGGCGTGGTTCTGCGGCCGCGCCGGGCAGAGGCGCTTCGCCCAGCCGAGCCTCTGTCCCCAGGCGGCGGCGGCGGCGGCGGCGGGCCGGGGGTTTGTGGAGAGCGGGCACATGCATCTTTGTCTCTGTTTCCTCCCTATCTGCCCGGGCCGTGTGTTAACTCAATAGACTTTCCCTGACTGTTTCGTGACCCCTGTTGGCAGTGATTCCAGTGTCTGTGCCCATTCAGTCTGGTTGCCCAGCATCGTCATCATCTTTGTGAATCATCCTAGCTTCCATTTATTGATCACTTCTTATGGGCCACACACAGCCCTAAACACAAGGGTATTATCTTATTTAATCCTCTCTGCAAACCATTTGAAGTGCTCTTCTTAGCCCTATTTTATAGTTGGGAAACTGAGGCCCGGGGACAGGGAGGTTAAGTCGTCTGCCGTGGGCCTCACAACTGAGAACGGCTAGAGTTGGATTATACAGACACCCCCCCTCCCCCGCACTGCATCGGCCGGTTTCTTAACTGTGTCACACTCTTCCGTTCAAAGTCGTGAACCTTGTAATTTTAAAAATCTTAATCAATTATGGCCTGTTTCCAGGTTTGAATCCTGGCTCTGTGAATGTTTGGAGCACGAGGGAACTGATATTCCCAGCAGTGCTATTTGTGAAGCTCATCTTGCTATGATAAATGAAACCGAACTTTACCTTCTTTGGTTGGGACTGGCATTGTTTTGACTGGTGCTGTTGGCGTGCCTCCTGGCATGACACTGAAACCACATGTATAGTTAATTGGTTCGATGTGGCAGGGTTCAGTATCTCATGGGAGGTCTATTGGAACCTTGCCTCTGACGACAGCAGCCTCGTGTCTTTCGGAGCCTTTTGCCCTCATCTTCATACGTGCTTATTTTATCTGTTATTAATCCTATACTGGACTTGAATTATTGTGGAATTCTATCAAAAGAATTGGGTGCATTAGTGCTTATCCCATCAAAGAAACTTTAAAAGTTTATATACATGAATGTATTTTTTTTTAAAGTCTGTAAGAAGTTAGTTATATATCGTACCCTGTTGTAAAACGGGCACACCAGCAGCTAGGATTTGGGCCAGTGTTTTTATTTTCTTGTTTGTATCTACGATGAGTGTATTTTATTACTATGAGATTTGATCTTTGTGACTCATACGTAATACAACAAAATATTCAGGCTTCATATTTGACACAAATTTTCTGCTGGACCTGATTATTGAGAACAGAATACTAGATGTGAGTTTTTTCTTGGTTTATCAGTTACTGTAATCAGGAAGTCATAAACATAACTCTCTCAAAAACACTGTGCTTTGTTAATTTCTTCAAAGAAACATGTTTTATGGGAAGCAGTGTAGTATAATGGATGGATTCAGACAGACCTGGAATTAAATCCCAATTATTCCATTTGTCAGTTGCATGATTTTGAGCAAGTTAGTTGACTTTGCCAAGCCTTACTTTTCTCACTTATAAAATGGAGGCAATTATTTACCTTTCAGGTTTATTATGCAGACTATATAGTATATCTAAAGTTCTTACTTCATAGGGGAGCTCAGTAAATGTCATTGTTAGCAGCTTTTAAAGTTATATTCATTGTTATTATTGTTATTATAAAGTGAATTATTAAGTCTGGTAAGCACCTAGCACAATAAGTGACATGTAATTATACTTTCCCTGCCTCCCCAATCTAAGTCACTTGACTATTTACAGAAAATAAATTTGAGACAAATTCATAAATATTTTAAAATTAGGATTTGAAATATATATAATTAGTTTGAAGTTTTATAAGGGTCATTTGATCTGGCATACAATTAAAACTTTATCAAAATGGATATTTAAGACCTCACTGTACCCTAAACCTCACTAGGTTCCAACTAATTGGCAGAAATATTAGTTTGATTTGCAGATTTTTTTTTTTAGAATTTTGTTTTAACTGAGTAACTTCAGTTGCTGTTATTAGTTGTTAGCTGTTATTATTCATTTGTTCTACCCAGCTTTGGCTTTCAGTTTCTATAAAATATTTCCAAATACCTGCTTCAAGTTATAATTAATACTTTTAGTATCTGCATTTATTTACTTATAAGCAACAAACTCATTATCTTTGTTTCCTTAAATTGGTTAAACAGAGATGCTGTACTTTTAATCTACTTTTGTTTAACAAAATGTTTCTTCATAGGGCATAGTTAAAATTGGTCAACTAATTGTAAATTCTAATTTACAAAAGCACAGATTAATGAGATTCTGTTTTTCTTTTCTTTGGAGGGAAGGGAACATGCTCTTCAATATTAATGTTGCTTCCATGAAATCTATAATAATAGCAGTGTGTTTTGCTTAACTTTGCATTTAAAATATTTTGTATTTAAGGTCTCATTCAAATCCAGAGCATTTCAGCTCTTTCTTTTATGAAATTGGCTTAGGTATTTTGTATGTTTATCCTTATATTTTAACACTGTTTTTTGATATTTAGTTTATTCTTAAGGTTGACCTTCATTCTCAGTAGCCCATTTGTACCTAATCCTGTACTTAAGTCCTTTTAATATTTGATATTTCCTCTTATTTTTACCTAAATATGTTCATCTTACTTCCTTTCACACACAGACTAATATACCATTTCTGAAAGAATTTAGTAGCTTTTTCTTACTATATTTGCAGACTGTCTCATAATAGTAGCTTTCCCATCTCCTACCTCCCCACTCCCTTCCTGCCCTGCCAATCCCTTCCTTAGAAATAATAATTGTTCACATTTTAATAGAAAGTTTTAAGTAAATTATCTTTATCATTTCCTTTAATCATTTTTTATTCTGTGTAAATTTCAGGATTAGAATGGCTGAACACAGAAGAATCTATTTCTGTCTACAAGGATCTATGTGGAAAAGTGGTCGTCCTTGATTTCTTCACCTACTGCTGCATAAACTGTATTCACCTGTTGCCTGATCTTCATGCATTAGAGCACACATACTCTGATAGAGGTATCTGCCCTTTAATTGGTTTCTAACAGTCTGTCCTGGCATAGTCACTGGAAGAGTAGCTGACTCATTTTGCTCATAGGAGAATGAAACATTTGGCAAGACTTCAATGATTCTAAAGTAATTTCTAGTCTATGAATTAAGGACTCCATGTACCTTTTCATGAAGAGTTAAGCTTAGTGATAATGGTTTGCCTTCCTAAAGAACCAGCATTTAGTCTATGGTTTTTCTTTAAAGGTAGGACATAGTTTACTTTTTTCATGATCAAGTATTTTAAAAAGGTCATTTTGTATACCTGGACTTACCTAAATTTGTTCTATGAAAAAAAGAAAAAATGAAATGTGTGACTAATTTTATATTCTTCTTGTTGTGATAAAAAGGTTTAAAGTTCTTATTAGGAAATATGAATAAGCTTCCTTTAATTTCAAATGACATAAACTACTACCTGTACTAATATTTTGGGAGGCAAAATATTATAACAGATACTTTTTCTTTGACCCTGCTTTATTTAAAAATTATTTATAAAGGTTAATGTTTTCCAAAGCACACTAGGAAATCCTTTTCTATGGTATTACAAATTCTGAAAATGTAAGAGGTTATAGTTAGTATTTTCTTTAGAACTTTGACGTTTTTTCAGATTTTTTTTCTTGTTTACTTCTTTCTAAAAGAGAGCATATGGGATAAATGAAACTAATTAAAGGTTCCATTTAATTAGGCTTAAATTAATTGAAGCTGTCCTCTTCGCAGTGACTAAAAAGAGGGGGTTACTGATCTTGTGAGAGTAAAGATGAGAATAGAGTATACATGTACAAAAATGAAGGATTTCTTGAAACTTAGTTTAAAAAAAGGAGTGTTGGATAAAACCTTCAGTGCAGGTGAAACTTCAGATGCTTTTAAATTGTAACGGACTGTATCTTGGAATTGCCTATCGATGAGATTTACCAAGAACTCAAATATTCCCAATAGCTAAACCATGTTTTCAAAAATTCATCTATATTTAAGAAACATGAGTATTTCATTATCTCCTAGGTTTTGGATACTTGTGTGTCTTGTTCAAGTCCATGTAATAAATATATTTATTGAGTATGATGTGCAGGGTACTCTAACTGCTGGGGAAATATGTAACAAAGTTGAATTAAAGCATTATGGAACATGGGGAAAGGAGTAACTTGCTTTGCCTAGAAGCTTTGGAAAATATTTCTCAAGAGAAGGAGACAGTTAAGCTGGAACTTGAAAAATGAGCAGGAGTGCAGCTGAAAATGAAAATGGAGCAGGAGGGACACTCCTGGCTGAGGAAGTGACAGGTAAACAAGGAGGGACGCACAGAAGAGTAGGTTTGCAGAGTGGTAAATAGTTTAGTGTCGCAAGATTGTAAGGAAGGCCGATTAGGTTCAGACTGTGTTAGGAAGGGCTTTGTATAACGTTCTTAATAGTTAATGGACTTTTTCATCCACTGAAAGTACAGAGATGCTTAAGGTTGTTTTTGATTTACTTGTTTAAGAGGAGGATGACAGTACGATTTGTGTTTCAGAATGGCACTTACAGACTGTGTTAAAAATCCCAAAGTTAACCATTTCTTACTTAAGATCACCCCTAATGGACTGTTTAACTTAATTGGTTAACCCCATACCTGAAGCAAATTCAGTGGCTTCTTAGAATGGATCCTTAACAGTCTCTTTACCAGTTTACTGAAAATATTTTTATAACACATTGTGACAAAAAATAACTATTTTTTATATATAAATACACTTCTGAAAAGTAAAATACTTTGTAAGTGGTTTCAACATTGTAATTTCAAAGAAACATTACTTCATTATTATGCTGCTGTATGAAAATGCTGGTAACTTAGAAATAAAAGATTTCTGTATTGCTTAGAAGATAAGTTCAGTTCATATTCACAAAAGCAGGCATACCTAGAGATTATCATATGAAAGTTCAGTAGGCTGTCACTAAATTTGCTTTCTTGCTGCTGTCTTTTTTTTTAATTAATTATTTATTTTTGGCTGTGTTGGGTCTTTGTTTCTGTGCAAGGGCTTTCTCTAGTTGTAGCAAGCAGGGGCCACTCTTCATCGCAGTGCGCGAGCCTCTCTGGCGGCCTCTCTTGTTGGGGAGAACAGGCTCCAGACGTGCAGGCTCAGTAGTTGTGGCTCACGGGCCTAGTTGCTCCGCGGCATGTGGGATCTTCCCAGGCCAGGGCTCGAACCCGTGTCCCCTGCATTAGCAGGCAGATTCCCAACCACTGTGCCGCCAGGGAATCTTTTTTTTTTTTTTTTTTTTATTGGAGTATAGTTGATTTACAATGTTGTGTTAGTTTCAGGTGTACAGCAAAGCGAATGAGTTATATATATGTATATATCCATTCTTTTTCAGATTCTTTTCTCATATAGGTTATTACAGAATATTGAGTAGAGTTCCCTGTGTTATACAGTAGTTCCTTGTTATCTATTTTATGTATAGTAGTATGTATATGTTAATTCCAGTCTCCTAATTTATCATGATGCTGTGTCTTATTTCATTACTATGTGATGTTTCTGAATTTATCTTCAGCAATGCTATTTATGTTCTTGAAGAGACATTCCGCAGCCTGTTTTTATTCCATGAAATATTCAGTTCATTGTATCGGTAAGCTGGAAATGCTCAGCTGAGTGAGGAAGTGCATTTTAATTCAAAAACACTCTGAAAGAAGCCCACTTTAATACTCAATCTCCTTCCTCTGTAAACATTGCTTTTAAAGTCTGGTTTCTAATGGTGACCACTATCACCTTCACAATAGCATAAAAGAAATTATAAATGCCAAAGATCTAAAGCAAAAGTAAAAAGATCCTTAATAGTAATGAATGGTTCTGGTTTCTCCTTGAGGGTTTCTAATTTCTTTTACCTGTTTATGCTGGATACATTAATGATATATAATACCCAAATTTAGCACAATGGCTATCATCTAAGGAAAAACACTTGTTGTATAAGAAAACATCTAGTAGGAAAACTTGGCATATTTTAAAATATGTTTGCTAGGTGAATGTTAATATATAATTAAATCAGACTTTAAAAACCTAAATGCCATAACGCTGCTGAGTAAACGCTGGTATTCTCGTTATGTGGTATATGCTATTTTTCACTTTATTAAAAATTAGAAGAATGTATTTCTAATTTATAGGGAAACTAAACCTTTTAATGAGTCAATATACAGTTTTACTCTGTGTCAGGGTTCCCCAAACCACCCCAGGTCAATAATTCTTTAGGAGGACTCACAGGATTCAGCATGTAGCTGTACTCATGGCTATAATTTATTACAACAAAAGGACACAAAGCAGAATCAGCCAAGGGAAAAAACGCCTGGGACTGAATCCAGGGGAGACCAGGAGCAAGCCGAGTCCTCTCTTGGTGGAGTCGTGTAAGAGGTGCTTAATTCCCCCAGCAAAGAGTTGTTACAGCGAGTTTGGATGTTGCCAACCAGGGAAGCTCACTAGAGACAGCACCCAGCACTTTAGGCCTTGTGAGCTACTCTCATCAGTTCTGGGAATGATGGGAACGCTTCCGAAATACAGGCGAGGACCAGCCCTATAAGCAGGTCTTTGAAAGAATAGTAGTGGGGCCTGCTATGTTAACTCTTTTTTGTATACACTTCACACTTTATTTTTGCAGCACCCCATATTCTGATTATTCTTTGTTCTTAAATAGTTAAAGTATGACGAAAATATTGGCTGATTTATGGCAAACTTTCAGAGTGTTTACTGTAGGCACAGGGAAATGTCAGTTTTTGAAATTTAAAAAAAATTCACATTTGCTTCTGGTCTCTGCTTTAATTTAGTGTTCGGGTGATTTTGATTTTTTTTGTGTGTGTGGTACGTGGGCCTCTCACTGCTGTGGCCTCCCCCATTGCGGAGCACAGGTTCCAGACGCGCAGGCCTAGTGGCCATGGCTCACAGGCCCAGCCGCTCCGCGGCATGTGGGATCTTCCCGGACCGGGGCACGAACCCGCGTCCCCTGCATCAGCAGGCGGACTCTCAACCACTGCGCCACCAGGGAAGCCCCCGGTTTTTTTACTTCATGTTTCCATCTCTCCACATCCTTCTTCCCTTCCCTCCCCTCGAGGTGTTCTAGCCTCCGTGACCTGCCTTCATCTTTTCTTGCCTAGTAAAGTCATGCTCATCTTTTAGATCTCAAAATGCCTCAATTTACAGGTTTTGTAACATCTAAAACTCCTTAAGTATTTTTAGTTTTTGCATTGAACTAAGTTATTATACTGCCTGTGATTAAACTATACTGTTTGCTATATACTATATATAAATGTTATATACTACTATGCATAATTGTATTTATATGTCTATACGTTTCTGAAAAATAAGACCTTTGTAGTTAGTTGCCTGACCAGGGATCGAACCCATGCCCCCTGCAGTGGAAACATGGAGTTCTAACTCCTGGACTGCCAGGGAATTCCCTGAAGTTTCTTAAATGATTTTAAAAAGTTATTACTAATATTTTAGAAGCAGTTATTCTTTTTATTTGGTTTCACCTT